GAAGCTAGATAAGAAGCTGGAGAGCAGGAGCTAGAGTCTACACATCCTGCCTCAATATAATGGGAGCTCGATCCACTGCCCCACAATGTTGACCTTATATTAATCCATTTTTGGCTACTTTGGTAGCTTTCATTGGGAGTAGTTTGTTTTTTTCAGAGGTTTTGCACCTTTGATATCAAGCACATATTCTTTGGAAGTTTATCTGTGGGAACTGTTTTGTTTTCAACCTTGATGGTCCTTTCCAACAGATATCTAGGAAATTACAGCCACAGCATCAGTGGGATACATACTAATGACTTGACTTTTTCACGGCCATAGTTAGTGAAAAACTATGTGAAGGATATATTGGCATGAATAATTTTTCTGTAATTTTGTCTCTGGCTTCATTAAAAACTATCGCTGAGGAGGACAAAATACCTTCTCAGAATCCTTTGGGATACAGATAGTTTATCTCTGTTCTTTTTATGTTACTAATTCCAAAGCTTTCTAGCTTTGATCGAAGCGGGTATTTTGGTTTTTGTTTGTGTTTTAGTTCTTCCAGTTCTCCCGGTATATAGCAGAATTTAACTCCTTTCTGCTTCCAACCTCACTTGCTTTTATTTTCATAATGGCTTTATTATCGTTCAGGATCTCTGAATATTTATTGTTGTTTTTCACTATTTTTGTACAATTCAAAGCAAACACACAGGTTTAGAAGACGATTTTTTTAGAGTGTTGTATGTTTTATTAGTGATTTTTAAAATATATATGCTCTATCCAAAATGCTAGAAAACTTCATTAAGGAAATTTAAAGTTTTAGAACAAAGTTAAAAATTGTTATTTCTCTTTATCCATAGATTTGATAGACTTGACAAATCTAAAATCCACTTTAACTCATATAGTATTTATTTTTGTACAAATTCATAAATTATAATTGTTTACCTAGTGGGGTATTATTAATTCTGTAGCATGTAATTACAGAGTGTTACAATTATATATGAAGCCAGATTATTATCCAATTAATAAGTTAGAATAGGTAAATTATTAATGTTTCTTAATACATTCCTCTCAAAAACTGTGGACATGGGATATATGCATCATCAGAATATCTTACAATGTAATAGAGCTGCAATGTTTAGGCTTTAAATCACAACTGCTTAGATATCGTCCATTCCTGGTCAAGCTCCATGCTGTCCTTTTTTCTGACCAAATCCTGACCTTGAGTTCTATACTTGCTTCAGTAGCTCTGTATATTTAGTCTACTTTTAATAATCATTTTTGGGCCATTTCTTTCCTTCAGTATGCAGTCAACAAAATCCTGTCAAATAAGTCCTACACCTAGTACTTTGTAATTCTTACTAACTTGCTAACACATTGTTCCTTTACAATGCATCCCAACTCCCCTTCTTTTTAGTAGGGGTCAAGTCAACCTGCACTATTACAGGATCCATTGCAGCATTGGCTGGGATAGCCTCTCCTTGAGAGACTGCTGCAGAATTGATCCTTCTGAATTTGATTTCCATTAAGCTGGTAACTTTCTAACTAATTCTTAACTTAGAAGTTTCTTTCAATTTTCCTTAGAAAGTGCTAATGTATCAGGACTATTTGGCTTTATTCTAGAAGTGATGTTACTTTTGATGAGTGTTTAAATTGGTATTTTATTTACATATCATCTTTTGATGAGATGATTAGAGTGATTTATTGTTCATTAATCTGATTGATTTTTATTAAACTAACATTAATTCTGTGTACAAACTAATGGTTGTAAGCCTAAAAGATTTGAAAGCGGTGATTCAGAGTATCTGAACAATCATGTTTATAGCAGCACTGTTCACAATAACCAACATTTTGAATCAACCAAAATGTCCATTATGAGATGAACAGTTAAAGAAAATGGAATATTATTCTGGTAAAGAAAAAATGAAATCTTATCATTGGCAGCACTATGGATTCAACTGGACACCAAATTGAGTTAAATAAGCCAGATCTAGAAAGATAAGCAGCACTTAATCTCACACGAGGAAGCTGGAACCACACACACACACACACACACACACACACACAGAAAGAGAGACACAGAGAGAGAGAAATAAAAGAAAGGTCTGTGTGTATGCATAAATTGTAAATATAGCCTTATAAAACTTCCTTATAGTTTTGTCAAACCAGTGTTGACTGTTACATGGCGTAACCAGCGGTTAAGAATGTTATACGAGAGGCCTGAACGACGACTCACAGGCTAATCCTCCGCCTTCAAGCGCCAGCATCCCGTATGGGTGCCAGTGTGTGTCCAGCTGCTCCATTTCTGACCCAGCTCCCTACTTATGGCCTTGGATAGCCCAAGCCCTTGGGACCCTGAACCCCATGCAGGAGATCCAGAAGGGACTGTTCATAGCTTCAGTTTAGCTCAGCAGAGGCCATTACAGCCACTTGGGCAGTGAACTAGCAAATGCAAGATCTTTTCTTCTTTATTTCTTCTTCTCTCTGTAAATCTTTATTTCCAATAAAAATAAATACATCTTTTAAGAAAGAATATGAAGCAGGATTCTGGCTCCAGGCTTTAGCTCGCCCTGACCATTATGACCATGTGGAGAGTGAACTAGTGGACAGAAGATGTTTGTTGCTGTCTCTCCTCTAAATATGCCTTGCCATTAAAAATAAAAAAATTTTAATTTTAATAATAAAGTAATTTTCATTTTGAAAAAATGTTAAAAACATTTTAAAATGATTTATTTGAAAACAAAGTAGATCTTTTAAAAAATAAAAATTTACTTTATTGCAGGGTCCCAAGGCTTTGGACCATCTTCCACTGTTTTTTTAGACAACAAGCAAGGAGCTCTATGGGAAGTGGAGCAGCCAGAACATGAACTGGTTCCCATATGGGATCTCAGGTGTGCAAAGGCGGGGACTTTAGCTACTAGGCTATTGAGTTGGACCCTAAATCTATTTTTTTAAAGAAACATGAGCATAAGAAAACAATAGTTTTCTCCCCTGAAGAAAAAAAAAAAGAAAAATCTCAGAAATCACTTCAAATCCTTCAATAAATATAGCTTTCAGATATATCAAAGACATTTTCACAATGCACAGAATTTCAGATATTAATTTAATGAGGGATTAAACAAAACAAGGAATCCAGGTCTATTCGAAATATAGCAACGTTTTCATTTTACTATTTGATGAAAAAATGACCAATATAAAACATTTGTGCTTTCACCATTTTGAGTATTCAAAAGAATCACTGAGGAACTACGTGGATTAAAATGGCATGACTGTTTTAAAGTGCAGAAATTTGTGGTAGAATCAATCATAGTCATTAAGAGACTTCTAGAAATGTATTATTTAAAGCAGAAAGCCAAGACGTAGAAAGTAATGAATGAAATAAGAACATATGAAAAGGCATTCAGAAAGGTCTTTATTTTCTTGAAATGTAAATTAATTCATTTAGGAAAACATCCATAGGAAAATTAATTAACAAATTTATTTATTTATTTATTTATTTTGCTATGAGCTCATGTGAAAGGATTTTGGTGATATTAGAGCACAAGAATAACTAATAGGTCAATTGCTCTTTGAATTTAATTAGCAGAAACTGCAGGAAAGTTTAAAAAGACACTCATGCCATGTAGCTTAGTTGCTGGAAAAGTTACAAGATGAAACCACAATTTTCAGAATAAATGTATGGTTGAACTCAGGGAAAAGTTAACATTTAAGGATTGAATATTTTGACTCCAACTGATAGTAAGTAAAAAACATACTGCATCTATATCTTTAAAATAATTTAAGATTCATGAATTACACACACAGACATACACAAACACATAAATTTTGCTTCTCAGTCTTCAAGTGCAAAACCTTACTATAAACAGGCACAGAAGTGAGAGAGAATAAAGAAAAAAGCTGTAGAGGAAAAGAGGTGAAGGGATGTGGGGGACGTGGAACAGGAGAGGAGGAGGGGGAAGAGAGGAGATTACTAAGGATGCACTGATACCCAGTAACCTAGTTATCTTTTTCACTGAAACTTACTAGGAAGATATTCAAAACGGGTACGAAAATAGTGATAGGGAGCACTGCCCCTGTAGCTGCTTCAAAAACCTTATTAATGATGGAGAAGCAACTTGGATCATTCAGCTTCTAGTCAGAAGCTGGCCATTTTTTCAGGAGAGAATTCTAGAAGCAGCTGATTCATCCATCCCCCTTGGTGCTCATGTCTCATATCCTGTTCCCTTTGCTGGCCCTTTGCAAGGTGTGGGTTACCGTTGACCTGCATTTCGGTGCGAAGTCTGAGGGAGGGTCGTATGGTACAACCTTTTCATTACTAATCAGTGCCTTTTCCGGAAAGAGGACTCTGGAAGACCCAACCCCTGGGGTTCTGCTATGCAAACCCCCGATGCTGCGGACTCTCACAGTTGTCCGCCCACAGGCTTTTTCTCCCCGCAACTCCCTCCAGTCGCCGTCCGGGCTCTGCACCGTTACTCGCTGCTCTTTTTCAAAGGCTGAGGGTCTAAGCCTCTCCCGCAGTCCTGCTGGTCTGCCATTCGTTCCGCTGTGCGGTGGCGATTGGCAGGCTCCACAGGGTCGTCTGGCCCCGCCTCGCTTCCCTTTGCCGCGCGCAGTCTGGGGTTCTTCCCTCAAGGTGTCGGGCGGGATTCCTGCAGGCGGCGCTGGGAGCAGGTGGAAAAGCATCCTTGTTTTGACTGTTGCTGCTGTTCTTTCTGCAACCGTGGATCCGAGCCAAGAAAGGATGAGCCTTTTTCCTTTGATGATAGCGCTTCGGTAAACTGTTGCCCAGAACCTAGGCACTTCAGACACTTCATTCCCCTCGTGTTTCTGGTTTCATTGAATAAATAACCTGCGTGTTTATGTTGCTGTGAATCTGCCCTTTGCTCTTGCTCAGAGAAGTGGTCGAACTGGAATTTCCAGTGAGCCGGAGGGTCTTGGACCGCGGGGCGCTGTCTGAGGTGCTGAAGCTTCCAGAACGTTTTTCTCCACCAGCACCACATCTCCCTTGCTGTCTCTGATTCCCCATGCCTTCCATAAGACTGTTTTCAGGATTGTAAAAAATCTCCCCGTATCATGGCTCACGTGAGACATTTTCGGACACTTGTTTCGGGATTTTACTTCTGGGAAGCAGCACTGTTACTCAGGTGAGTGCACTTGTCTTATCAGCTGAAACACTCGGATTGCAACCACTTGTTATTGATGAAGCCAACAAATAGAGAGTTCTAACTTGACGTGCCGAGACTGTCCCTTAAACTGCATTGTTTTCTACCTATGAATCTATTAAAATGTCTGACAACAGGTAATTTGCTGTATTTTCACTCAGTTCTTTCAGTTGCTGGCATAATATCTTGTTCACAACTAAGGTTGCTCTAAAGATTATTTCAAAAGCTTAGGTTTTTCTATGCAAGTCACACATATAGTTTTAATTTGCTAAATAAATTGTCTAACATGAATGCTATCTTTTAAAGTGTTACAAAATATTTAGCAATTATAAATGGTTCATTGGTAACTTTCTAAAAGGCAGACATATAGAACAATAGCACTTAGAGAATTGAAAAACTCAGAATATTGCTGATAAATTCATACATTAAGCTAAATGAGTGTTCTTTTTAATGGCCTCGTTCAGTAATACATGAAGGCAAAATAGCACATGCCTTTGAATAGGTAATGTAAAATTATAATGTAAAATTCTTTTTAGTGAAGTAACATAAGAGATATGTTAAAGTTGTTTGATGGCATGTTATTTTCTTATGACATTCCTGTCATATTAGGTAAGATTCTATTTTCTTTTTAGTTAATTTAAAGAAGAGAACCTACGTGTAGATCAAAGAGTTTTATTACTGCTCTTAAGCTTACAATGTATAAAAATCAGATACTTCTCTCAGATTTTAAGCCACCATTATAAAATTTATTTTACTGTTACTATGTAATTACCATAAAATTTTCATTTTTCTCATACACAGTTTTCACCAGTGTTTAAGTCAAATAATCGGAGTGACTAAGTTCTATGTGTATTGCTTTCTCTTTGAACTATGTGAATAATCTTTTGTTTACTGTGATCATTTTTATCTTTGTGCTACCTTATAAATGAGTCATACAAAATCTACGCACGTTAACCCATTAGCCTGATGCCTGTAACAGAAAATAGTCAAGAGGATTACTTTATTTCTTAAAGTATTGATTTTCTTCATGAAGAGTGCAACTACTTTGAATAGCATCATTTTTAGTGAAAAATATTTTAATATGTCTTAGGATATTACTGTAACTTTATACTTCATTGGATTTTTATATATAGTGATCAAAACTAATGCACATAGCTTTCATTTCTAAAAATGTCATGATAATGAATAGTTATTTTATAAAATAGATCGATCATTTTATTTTGTTTCTTACTATTGTCAGTAATAGTACTAATTTTTTAGGGGAAATGATAAGTTTAGCTGGTAGTTACTTACACTTAGGAAGTTTAAAGTCAGAAGTTAAGACATTTTGGTCTTGTTGGCCAAATTCATGGAATGACAATTCAACGTGACCCATAATATACAAATTAGATCCTCTAAATAAATTAGACTTTCACTGAGGGTCACAAATGAATTTATTTGCAGTTACTGAGTACAGCTATAAGAATTTATCTTTGATAATACTAACTAATTTTAGTCATAAGTGCTTTTTATGAGTAACCCAAAAATGTGATTCTTCGGAAAAGGCCCTTCCAGAAGTTCATACAATTCTTCAGTTCTTCATTAAATGTTTCTTTTTCTTTCACAAACCAACTAAACATTTTCTTTGCCATAAATTAGCCTTAATAAAAGAATAGTTTTGTTTCTCCCAAGAAGAATTTATTGTAAAGACTAAACATTGTGGTTCTGAGTGATGACGCTGGAGAGGATTACTTTTAGTAAAGACAGGGAAAGCTCCCTCTACTGGAAATGTTTTGTAAGATAAGTGTGATTCTTTGTTCATGAAGTCTATTAAGAAAATATATATATAGGGAAAAGGAAAGAGAAAATATAACCAATCATGAGTATATGTTTTCGTTTTCTGAATTTAAATGAAAACTTTTTAAGTTTTATTTTTAGTAGACACAGACATTGCATATATTTTGGTGTCGTATGTTATGTTCAGTGCATGCATATATGATTCACTGATACAGTCATGGTGTTGAACGTATCCATAGGCTGAAATACTTATCATTTGGGGGAGTGAAAACAATTCCTTCCAGTTGTTTTGAGACATACAGTCCAGTATTCTATAGTTACCCTGCTGCATTATTGAACGCTAAAAAGTATTTTTCCCACTTAACTATATTTAAAAAAAAACTTTACAGTGTAATATAAAGTCAAAATTAATCACATATTGCCAAAATTTGTATTTAACAATGTGTTAAACTGTTGTAACAGATTTTAATGATTTTCAGCTTTTTGAAGTATAGTCACAGAAAAGTGCTCAAGTTTGTGTCAAACTGAGGTTTCACAAACAGAACACACACTGGATTAGAAGTATCACAGATGCACATACTGAGCCCTTGCCACTACTGTGCCTCATCCTTTTCTAGGTTTACCTTGCCCAGCAGTATTCATTTTTCTTGATTACACAATAAACTTGCTTTGCTGATTTGAACTTTATATGGATACTCTTTTGCATATTTTTATTCTTTCATGTAGAAACAATTTATTCATTCTCACTCATATGTGTTATTCAATTACAAGATTATATTACACCAATATGTCCATGGACCTGATGATAGATACTTGGGTATTTTGAATAGGTTTTGAATTTATTTTGAATATATTTTTGCCTAATGTACATATGTATTTATGGTAAAGTAAGAGGAAGAGGAGTTGCTGGATTGCAGGGTAGACCTGATTACATTTAGCTTTAATTGTTAAAGCCAATTTTGAAAGTAGCATTTTTTTTTTTTTTTACCAAGGCTTAAGCGTTTCTGTAACATAGTGATTTAGAATTTGATCAATGAAATGTCATTATAGAAACTTCTACCATTACTTTTGATTAGTTCTACAAGCCTACAGATGATATTTTGGTTCTTTTTTGTTGTCATAATATCTTTATTTTACTGAATGAGCATTAACATAGCAAAATAAATAGAAACAAATATTTCTTACAATATTTTCATAAGTAGCTATTATCAAAATATGCCAGACATTACAAATATAATTTTTAAATGAAATTTTTCAATAAAGAACATTTATTTAAAATCCAGTGACAAAACTTCATAAATGATGTAACAAATCCGAATTTTCAAAAAATTGAGCTTTTTTTAAAAAGATTTTTTAAGATTTACTTATTTTATTGGAAAGGCAGATGTACAGAGAGGAGGAGAGACAGAGAGGAAGATCTTCCATCCGATGATTCACTCCCCAAGTGAGCACAACGCCTGCTGCTATGCTGATCTGAAGCCAGGAGCCAGGAACTTCTTTCCGGGTCTCCCACACGGGTTCAGGGTCCCAAGGCTTTGGGCCATCCTCAACTGCTCTCCCAGGCCACAAGCAGGGAGCTGGATGGGAAGTGGAGCTGCCGGGATTAGAACCGGCACCTATATGGATCCCCAGTGTGTTCAAAGGGAGGACCTAAATCATTACGCCATTGTGCAGGACCCCAAATAATGAAGCTTTAAAATGTTCTCATATTAATAAAATAAAGAACAAAATATTGATATTCATCTTTATTTGAAATGTAGATTGGTTAATATAAAAAAAACTCATTTCAAAACCAGGGAACTGATAAAAATGTGTATTTAAGCTTATTATTTTCAAAATTACACTTTAATTGTTCATATTAACAGTGTGAGAACAACTGAGTTCCTTTTTGAATGAATTATAGCACATTCTATCACAAACTGAATATCTGACTTTTAGAAATCTTAAGAATCAGAAGCAAAATATTTTTCTTTTTATTCAAAGTCTGTAGAATATTTGGCACTGAATTTCTTGATTTTGCTATTATGTTTTTGAGCATGAGAATAACCTTTTTTCTTTTTAAAATAAATACTGTGCTTTAAGGAAAAAATTATTTTGATGATGTGACACAGCATATTGTGTAGTTTTTAAAATTATACCACACATAACACAAAATTCTTCACTTTCTGCTGGTGATTAGAGAAACAACAGCTCAGCTTCAATTGATGCTTCAAACAATGTACACTGAACATTCAGAGAACAGCTTACAAAATATTCCCTCTTCTCTAAAGATATTGCTTTTATTTAATTAGATAACTTTGTACTGAGACATCGATCAATTATTTTATGTTTCGCAAGTTGTCTTCACCAGTCCAATAAGAATGATTTGCCTAATTCTGTGCATAAATTTCTGTGCTAGGCAGAACTGGGCTAAGGTGAATAGGCAACCACCACCTGTTACACTCTGGAACTTATGGATCTGAAATATAATGCAAACAATCAAGTACTGAAATAAAAACACAGACTAATGTTTTAGACAATGGGATATAAGGAGCTCCCGGTACTTGTGCTAGACCTTGTAGGATATTTGTTGAGTAAAAAGAAATTAGATATAAAGACAATAATCCATGCAAAAAGAGTAACATGTGCATACAGTACATGCTTGGGGTGTGTTAATGATCAAAGTCACTAAAAAATATTATACTTTATGGTTTACAAGTGTATTCTACTACAAATAAATATTGAATTTGCTAGAATAATAAGCTTACATAAATGTGGAAATATTACATCATCATTTCACAATCACATATGGATGTAATCATTGTACAAAAATTTATAAGTAGATAGAGATCGTTTTAGAAATAGTTTAATCCCTAGGCAAGAAATATGTCTGTGTAGCCTCTCCCTCAGAGGTTGGGTTTACAGAAAAACAGCCATAAGGTTAGTGGTGGTATGTAGAAATAGTAAGAACTGCAAAGTCACAGTGACAAAAATGCAGGGGGGAGATGTTAATCTGCTTGCTTTAAAGTTTGCAGATCACATTTATTTTCTTCTTTGGAGTAGAGTCTTTTCAAATTAATAGAAGAATCAACTAGGTGATTACGATTATTGCAACAGTATGGTGATATTAAGGCATTTTGAGTTTCCAAAGTTAGTGGTGGTGCCAGCATTACAGCCATCTGCCCAGATTACACTGCTGCAATTTTATATTTAGGTTAAGAGTTAAA